TCCTATCCTATCCTATCCTAATCTCCTATCCTATCCTATCCTGTCCTGTCTGATCCGATCCTATACTATCCTATCCTGTCCAATCCTCTCCTAATCCTATCCTATCCTATCCTATCCTATCCTATCCTATCCTATCCTATCCTATCCTATCCTATCCTAATCTCCTATCCTATCTTATCCTGTCCTGTCTGATCCCATCCTATACTATCCTATCCTGTCCAATCCTCTCCTAATCCTATCCTATCCTATCCTATCCTATCCTATCCTATCCTATCCTATCCTATCCTATCCTATCCTAATCTCCTATCCTATCTTATCCTGTCCTGTCTGATCCCATCCTATACTATCCTATCCTGTCCAATCCTCTCCTAATCCTATCCTATCCTATCCTATCCTATCCTTTCCTAACCCAGCTCTGCCCTGTATCGCTGCTTTGCCCATGGATTCCTCTCCTTAGATCCCCACTCTGTGCCCGGAGGGAGCTCAGCTGCCTCCTAGAGATCCCGCAGGAGCCGAGGTGCTCTGCCCCACAGCTTCGATAAGGGAACTGATTCTAACTGGTCCCACAGGTGAACCTCCAGCAGTGGGACAGTTCCCTGAGTTCAGAGGGAGAGAAGTGCTCTTAGGCATCTCCTCTCCCAACACTCATTTTCCCAGTAATTTCCTCCTCCTCCACTCTCCAGCACTGTTGTTAGGTTGATGCAGTGAAAAGACATTGCACTTTCAGGCTGTTTGCTCAGCACACAGGAGCTGAGCTGGACTGAGCAGGAGGTTGATTTACCCTCCAAGGGGCTGAGGGATGGATCATTTCTCCATGGGGAAAACAAGTGGGAGGACTTGAAAACTGACATCTGTCTGCAGCAGCTCCCAACAGATTTTCCTTCTCTGTATGCATATTTTTGTGCTATCTGAATAGTCCATGTCCTGAAATTTGGGGTTAGGAGATGGTCCATCCTTGCAAGTTCCTGTGATGATGATTCTTGACTTCCTCTGGCATTGTCACCAGGCCCTTCCCTCTTTAGCTAAGAGAACAGCAGGCAGGATCCTTTCACCCACTGCCTGGGAAATATTAAAGCAATTACACAAAGTCTTTGCCACCTGCCCTCCTCGTTTGCTTAGAATGGAAGCAAACCAGCAAGTTCAGCTGGTGTGGGACAGTGATTTTTGCATCCAGATGCTTTAGCAGCTGGCAAGTTGCTTCGTTCAAATCATCACAGAAAAACCAAAACCTGACAGAGAAATAAGATGTGTGTTTTGAAAGCACAGTACCTGAAGGAAGGATGTACCAGGTGGGAGAGTTGTGTTGATGCAGAATGAGAGCAGATATGGGTGTGGATGTGCATCATCCTCAATCTTTTGTGTACTAAAGACAGACAGGAGTGGAAAGGGATAAAGCAGTGACCTGTGTGATGAGTAGTCAGAAAAGAGCCTTGGATGAGATCAAATCTCTGTTACATCACATCAGGTACCCCAAAACCAGACACATTTGAGAAAGGTATATCTCTATCTTTCTCTCTGTGTAGAAGCAGTTTTACTGGAGGCTTTTCTGCTCAGCAACTTCTGTAACCCTGACCTGTAAATTCATGCACTGCTGCTTAGTGGAGATGGAAATGGCACAGCTAGAGATGATCTTCCCCCATCTGACTGACTGACATCCTCACTTCAAAGCTTAGCTTTGATTATTTAAATGCTAATGGAACTCAGCAAATTACCTAAAGTACAAACACACCTGGCTTCAGTCCTAGGGATCTAATTATGGAGCCTTTTATGTGAAATAAATTGTTCTTGCTTTCTGAGAAGTGGCTTTTTAAAATGTTCCCACAAAATGCCAGGTGATGGGATGGCACATTACCAGCTCAGCCTCTGTAATTGGAGCTCTTATCTGTTTCTTCTTCATCTTCTGTAGGATTCTGTTCACAGGTGCTCACAACTCAGACTTCAACCTCCTCTGACCTCTGTTATTTTTCTGCAGATAATTCCACTGACTCACAGTTTAAGTTAATGTAGCTGAGTTTGGAAACGAGCTGAGGATATTCAGCAAACAAACTCCAGTAGCATTTAGCCTTCATTGGATTTTCAGTGAAATTTCAACATTAAAAAGCTTTTGTGCCTGTGAGAATGTCCCTGCCCCGAGGTTACTGAGATCAAGCTTTAGACCCAGGATTATTAGAAAGGAGGTTGTAACCTTCCCATTAACACCAGCTTGTCACAAGACACTGATTCTTCATTATCTGACACCTTAATGTCTGTGGGCTGTGTGGATTCCATCTTCCTGACTTTAATTCTTCATCTGATAGGTGAAATTCTTAATTTTGTTGTGGTTTTTTTGCTTAGGAAAGGCAACATAGAGTATAGTAAATTCCTTTTATCATGTTACATATGTATTATATTCATTACTCAATCCATTGTTGGAGAGCTTGTACACAGGGTTGTCTACAAATGCCTATGGAGAGTAGGATGCCCTGGAATATCCTTCAAAGAAGTGTAGAATTGTGTTTGGTTTGATTCTTTTTAATCAGATGAGGTATACTAAAAGAAACAATTGTTTTCCTCTGTCAGTGGCAGATCTAAATGCAGAGTCACTGCTTTCTGCTGATGTCAGCTAAGAGATCTGCCCTTAGTTGAAATTGTGGCTCAAAGATTTGGGGCTTTGTGTCCTGGTTTCTGATTACCAGACAGCAAACCTCTGAAATGCTTCTGAATTCGAGTGGAATTCTAGCCCCAAACTGGGGCTCTGTTTCAGGAATGAGACATGAGAGAACCACAGCAAAGGCTTGAAGTGAATTCCCTAAATTATGGAGAACAGTTTATGATCTGTGACATAACGAGACATTTATTTATACCTTTAGTACACAGCGTTGGTTACAAATGTGGGTTTTTTGTAACCAAATTTCAGGCAGATGTTCACAAATAATTTCTCTGATGCAAACAGGCAGTACAGCAATGGTGTGTTCTGTTGGCCAAGTAATTCAGGGAGAGTTGGGTGCAATTTGCTCAGTGCATTGTGCAGTAGATGGATTGGTGGAGCCAACAAGGACTGAATATCTCACTGAAAAGCAACAGGTCCTTTGAACCCCCAAAGTCAATCCTGTCAAGAAAGCAGAGGAATAAGTAAAATAAAGAGAAGTGTACAGGATTTTACACTGGAAATTAACTGATTTCTTACTGCTCTAGGGCCAGGTTCAGCTCCACTGCTCTGCTCAGAGTTTCTTTGGATTGAAACAAGTATCCCAGGGGAAAACCTCTCTGATCTGCCCTCTGAGACAGGATGAAATGCACAGTTGACTCAGTGAAAGCAGCTAAAGCAGAGATGTGGCATTCACAGGTGCTAAGAACATATCTAATGACAGAATTCTGAGGCTGAAACAGTAAATTGTTTGTGACAACATATCTGATGACAGAGAATTCCGAGGCTGAAACAGTAAATTGTTTGTGACAGGAGGGTAAAAGTTACTCTAAGGCACCATTTCCTTAAAGCTGAATTAACCCTGCTCCTCTGCATATTGATACAAGTTACACATGAACACGCAGACCTCCCACCTCTGGCTTTCTCTTACCAAGGAGTCAGCATCCCAGTCCACTCAGTGACCCAAGATGACAGAGAATTCCGAGGCTGAAACAGTAAATTGTTTGTGACAGGAGGGTAAAAGTTACTCTAAGGCACCATTTCCTTAAAGCTGAATTAACCCTGCTCCTCTGCATATTGATACAAGTTACACATGAACACGCAGACCTCCCACCTCTGGCTTTCTCTTACCAAGGAGTCAGCATCCCAGTCCACTCAGTGACCCAATCCTGTCCAGCCTGACACCAAAACAGCCCCTGGAGAGACCTTTTTTGCTCCTGCCTCGGTAGCGGCGAGATAAGCTCAGGAGGTCACTGAGGAATCTCTGGATGGCACTGTCACCCATGGACATGCTCTCAGGCTGGTCCCTGGTGTTTTGGATCCACTGGAACTCAGTGGCTTGTTGATCAAAGCTTTCTGCTGGGATCAGCTCATCTTGCTTGTAGTCTCTCTCTTCTGAGACCAGGGGATGCTCCAGGTCCTCATCTAACACTTTGGATAGACTCTGGGAAAAGAGAAGGGTAGAAGGTGGAGAGGGAGGAGAGGGAAGAATTTGGAAAACTCTCATTATTTTCATATAAGCTAAGTTTGAGGAAACTTATTTTTGAATATGTATCAGAAGATGAAAGTGCTGAAGTGAGGTCCAAGGCTGATGATGCTTATCTTTAGTTTCTTCTGGCTCACTAAGCTGCTCTGAGCTAACACTAAATGCTCTCCCAAAGTGCTCTATGTTGTGACTGAATTCTATAGTTGTGAGCTGGCAGACTCCCAGTTAAATCTGCTGGAGTTGGGGACCTGGGATAACCTGGGAAAAACCATTTAAAAGCCTTGATCAAGTGTGAATAGGGAACAAGAAAAAAAATAGTTGATATCTGAGGGAATCCATGCATCAGGAGATATGCTGACATTGGTGCTAGAAAGATTATGTTATATATTTCTCTACAGATTGGGAGGTTACTTAATGTTTGGGAAAACCAGATTCCTAGTTAGGCAGCTGAAATATGTTTTCCTAAGGCCTTGGAATTCCTGCACACACAAATACATACAGACACACATACACACATAGTTTACTTTTCTTATGTTCACAAGCAGAGACTGCACTGCTGCACCACTGAGCTGAGGAGATCATCAGGTACAGCCACTAAATTCCTCTCAGCTTAAGCCAAGAGCTTCAGGGAGGACCATGCAGGTGGCTGCTTTGTGCTTTAGATTCCTTCCAGGATAATTCTTTATACTCCAAAAGTTTATTGCTTCACTCAGTCATAGGATGACCCTGAAAGTGCCACCCCCAAATTGACCCCCCAGGAAAAAAAAAAGCCCAAACCATTTTGCTTTCAATTGCTTCATGTGATCAGGAATTTATATCCAGTAGTCAATGACTTGACTTTCCCCCATTTAATAATTGTGTCTGTCATCATCTCTTCTGAGCTTCTCCTGCTGCTTTAGCTGGGGTTGGAAGGAGCAGAGCTCACCTGAAGTGTCTAATTCCTAAAGAAGCATCAGCTTTGTTCAGCTCTGCTGATCATCCAGTCACTTACCTGTAAGCTGGAAATGGACCTGGCCCCTGCCTGGTTTTGACTGACAATAAGCAGCAGAAGGAATCCAGGGCTAAAAACGAGTCTCAGGTTCATATTGTTGCTTTGGTGTCTCTGATTCCTCCTTGCCTTGAGTCTCTCCAGTTCAGTGTTGCTGTGTCTCCAGCTACCAGCCTTTATACCTTCCTCCAACCCCTCCCAAGTCTACCTTTGAGTTCCTTCTAGTGCAAGGATTGGTTTGAGGTTCTGCTCTGTTTTCATCCTCCCAGCAGCAGGAGGAGGAGGAGGAGGAGGAGGAGGAGGGAGGAAATAATTCTCTTTTCTGATGGGGAATGAAAGGAGCATTTCACAATGAGGCAATGCAGCATCAATCTGTCTCTGTGGGCTGAAGGGCTCTGCAGGCTGTGGTCTTGGTGCCCCTTGTGTGTGTCAGTGTCCCCAGCTCAGTGTTCCTTGGCTTGACTGCTAAACCTTTCCTTTTCATCCAGAGAAAAATATCTGTGAGAGAAGTATAGAGTGAGACAGGAAGCAAATTGAATCCACTACACATTCACCTGGTTCCTTTGTCACCACGAAGCTCCAAACTAGAGGGATGAGACTCTCATGGTGTGTAAGAACAGTTATTACATAACAATATGACATTATAACACAATAAGATAATAATGTAACTTAATAATATGACATTATTGACCTACGAGATGAAAG